CTGAGGGACCGAGCAGAACAGCCGAGCCAAATACCGCTCGGTGGCATGCTGCTATTCACTCACTGCTGTTCGGCATCTTTAAGAATAGCCCGAACAGCAGTTCGACCCGAAGCCACACAAAGCAAGCCGATGTACGGCTGAAATTAGCCGTACCAGCCTGAAGTGAATAGCCGAACAGTGTTCGGCTCACTTAACTTCAGATCGGTCATTCACTCGGCTACCCTCGGCAGCTTCGTGAATAGACCCCAGTGTGGGCAAAATAAATAAATGGTTTGGTGCTGTACTATATAGTAACTGGTAAGGCCTATTTAGATTTAATAAATTAATAATATATCACCACAGTTTAGATAGGTTAATAGGATCATTATAGACAGTCTAGTTCTGTTTTTGCAATATATGCATACAAACATCTAGGCATAAGTGACCTTTTGGTGTAGCTGTCTGTTAAAATAAATAAATGAAATACAACTAGGACCGGGGCCTGGAATGCTTCTCTCCTACAATTCATTTGCAGGTTTTAAATAAAACACTGACTGTTCTAAAGGAATATATGTATCAATGGCAATACAAGTTATGCACAGATGTGGATGTACAGTATCTATTATGCTTAAAGCGGTTAAGACCAATGACTTCTCAAAAACAAACTACCGTGTAAATTGGCAGGTAAATATCATTTCATATGGGTGTTTCATGTATTGTAGTTACCTGTTATTTTGGTTAATCAGGTTCAGTATTATTCCTTTTTACCCAAATAAAAGCCCAACTAACTGATATCCCAATTATCTAGGTATGAAACATACACACATGCACACAATTATCCTTATTAATAGTGCTATAGTAACTCTGGATCCTGAACAATGGGAACAAATATGGACCATGGTCAAGACCTCCTCTCAATGTGCGGCGGCAGTGGAGACCAACTATAAAGTCTTAATGTGCTGGTATTATGTTGCCTCTAGACTAGCCCATATCTTCCCTTCATCTCCTCAGTGTTATCGCCACTGTGACACCCCGGGCACAATGCTCCACATCTGGTGGGCCTGCCCGATAGCGCAACGTTTTTGGCGCAAAATATTTGCCTTTATACATTCCCTCTTCAGTAACACTCCCCCTTTTCAACCAGCTGTAGCTCTGCTAAATTTGAGACCTGATAATTTCGATATAACACAATTTACCCTAATGACTCATAGGGGTTGGTTTACTAACCTTATAAACACGCCACGAACAAGTATGCTGAGCATGTTCGGCCGACCCGAAGCCACACGAAGCAAGCCGATGTACGGCTGATTTCAGCCGATGTACGGCTGAAATTAGCCGTACCAGCCTGAAGTGAATAGCCAAACAGTGTTCGGCTCACTTCACTTCAGATCGGTCATTCACTCGGCTGCCCTTGGCAGCTTCGTGAATAGACCCCATAGAGAACAATTGTTATCTATGTGTCCTAGTGGCGACTTGCGCTGATCCGGAGAGGCACAACACAGGTCATCACATTATGTGTGAACAGGCTCTGAAGGACTACTTGAGCTTGGTCCCAGACCAAACCTAGGTAACCCTTTAATTGTTAATAACAAAACACCATTAAAAGAAAAAAAATCAGGAATACAATTCTGAATGCATAATGCTTGTAAGCAGCCTCGTATAGCATAATTCACAAAAGAGTGAAACGTTTTGAGAATGCAGGAGAAGTGAACAATCTAGGATTGGAAAGTGAGCTGAATTTGGAGGTTTTTCCAAATCAGCTATTTCTGGCCTTGATTGTTCACTTCTGCCTTCTGCAAACTCTTCACCATGTTGTGAATAACCCTCTTCGTGTTGCCTACACTATTTATTAATCAGTATAAGGATTTGGCAAAACAATGGGGAGTTGATTTTGTTGGATCTAATATATTTGACAGTTTGGAACCAATTATGACCAGTAGAGCCAGTTAACTAAACTGATGACTCGAAGAAAACTAAGCAGTCCTATCAGCTGTCATTCTGTTTTGTTACACATCATATAATCATTATATTTTATCATCCGTTCACCTTAAAGCATTTTTTAAGAAGCCTTGTGCCAGTAAAAACATGTTATGAAAGAGAAAAGTTACAGTACTGCATAACAAGCAACTTCAGATAAGCCTAAAAACAGGAGTTCTGGGAAGTTCTCTCAGGCTAAATTTATGGATGAGTTCAAGGAACTCAAAATGAAATAATGCAAAATTCATATTCATTTTTTGTTATTCTTTCGATCCGCTTTCACATGCTTAGTCTTTTTTCAGTCATTGGAAGCATGCTGTTTGTTATATTAGTTTTCAATTGTCATGCTGATTTTTTTTCATCTTTATCCCTATTTTGATACTCTGCATAATATTGACTTTTTTTCATGCATCACCTTTTAATAATATACTGTATATATAAAAATGAATGATCAGTTTATTGTAATGTATTCAATAAGGTATTGAGAAACTTTCTACCATTCATTTACTTAATGTGTTTCATTTTTACTTTGTTCTACATTTTGTTAACTTTTCTATACTTTTTTTCCAGCAATATGAAGCTTTTGACAGTAATTATATCTTTGTTCAGTCTCTGTACTGCAAAGTCATGGCCCAACTTTATTCTTATAATGGTTGATGACATTGGCATTGGAGATATAGGATGTTATGGGAACAATACGCTCAGGTTTGAAATGTGTTTTCTTAATTTTGTCTCCCTTTCTAGTAATGTATTTTATCTTATTTTTTATGGTGCACTTTATTAATGGCACTAATAAAGCCTTTACCTTTTACAGGCTTGAAAAAAAGTTTAAAAAATTTTCAAAATGAAATCCAGGGGCAACCTACTGACCACACCCATAAAACCACACCCCAATTTGTACTCCCACACACACACAAAACTGTACCTTTTATTTTTAGCATGTTCTAAAACAATTGGTCACAGAGTTTTGGAACAAGAAGCAGACATTGAAGGTATAAAGACAAAATGTTCTGGGCACTATGAATATTAAAATAAAGTGATGCACATAATGGGGAATTGTGCGTGTGGCAAAATTGCAGTAACAGCGGTAGTAGCTATAGGGGTATGGTTAAATAAAACCTGAGCCTATTCTGCTATGACTCAAGAGTGTTTACCACACAGAGTGTGGGTGTCAGAAGTGTGTAACACGGAACACAGGGGTCAAAAGTATGTGGCACAGGGATCTGGAGTATGTAACACATGGAGTAAAGTGTGTCCACTTTATATAAGTACTGTATACAGCTAGGAATAATTTTGAATGTGTTGTAACTCCAAAATTACCATAATAAAAACCAATAAAGAAAAGCCCCCCTATGTGATAGCAAAAAAAGAAGAAAATATTAATCAAAATAAATCTAAAAATAATAAAAAAATAAAATCCCTTTCAAGCGTGTGCGTACTCATGTAACACGCATTGCTACACATGAGTAAGAGCAATAATTATAGGTCCAATATTCACAGATCTCTCTAAACTGATGACCTGTACATGCTTTTAAAGTGTCACCTATGGGCAATTTGGGGTACTGTATTTTGTTACTATTTCACGAACGCATGCAATTTTTAACCTGTGCATGTTGGGTATCTATTTACTCATTGTAACCTCATCTTTGGGTATTGTGTACAGAGCCAGCTGTCAATCAGGCAGCAGTGTAGATCCCAACAATATTGTTGGGATCCATCCCGACTGCAGTGTGGTTCTGCACTGTCAGCATATAACGGGCAATAGCTCACTATATGCTGAGTTTTGGATCACAGTTGGGCATTAGTATATATCCTCCTGTTACCCTAAAGAGAACCATGGTTCTTTCAGCCTAAGCCATGACAGATGTGGATGAAGCTGGGAGATAGTAGGATCTGACAATGCAGCCTTTGCTTGTTCTTCACACATATAATACAGCCCCTGTCCCCTTCATACATACACTGAGTGGTCAGATTATTATGACCACCCCATCAGTACTTCGTTGGGCCACCTTTTGCCTTCAATACTGCAGCGATTCTTCTTGGCATTGACTCCACGAGATGTTGAAAGGTGATGCAAGGAATCTTACACCATGCCCGATGAATATCACTGTCCAGTTCTGTGAATGAACTTGATCAGCAACGATACTTTGGTATGTTGTGCTATTCAGACGTTGTTCCACACGAATTAAAGGGCCCAAATCATGCCAGGAAAAAATGCCCCAAACCATAACTCTGCTCCCACCAGTTTGAAGGATTGTACTCATGCATGTGGGGTGCATGCTTTCATGCTGTTTCCGACAAATTCTCACTCTGCCATCTGCATGATGCAACTGGAAACTTGATTCATCAGACTACATGACTTTTTTCCAATGCTCGACTGTCCAATCCCTGTGTTCCTGTGCGAATTGGAGACGTTTATCTTGTTAACTGCAGACAGCAAAGGTGTTCGAACAGGACTTCGGCTTTCATATCCCACATGATGCAATGTACGGCGAGCAGTGTGTTCAGAGATTATTTGAGCCGATCCCTGATTAGGATCTGCAGTAATTTGATGCACTGTTGACCTTCTGTTGTCTTGTACCAGTCTTGTCACTCTCCGTTCTGCCCTAACATTGACTAGTCGCTGACGGCCACAATTCGCACATTCAGACCCAGATTTTCAGCTGACAGTCCAGTCTTTAAAACTTTAACAACAGCTGTTCATGAACATTTAACGAATTCTGCTGTTTTGCTGATACACGCCCCCATGGCCCCGAGCGCCAACAATCATCCCATGTTCAAAGGCTGTTAAATCACGTTGTTTACCCATATCTTCAGAAAAAAATCACTTCTACTGTCATGGTAAACAACCTGCTTCCCTGTTTATAATGGTCTGGCCCTCTATCAACTTCAGCGCGACATTATAGCTAATTTGCCTACAAACGTCAGGTGGTCATAATAATCTGGCCACTCAGTGTATATAGCCCCTGTTGCTTCCTCACACAAACAATATGGTGCTCTTCTCACAAAAACAATACAGCCCTCTCCTCCCACATACAATAGAGACCCTGTCCCCTTCTTACTCAAATAATACATCCCCTGTCCTTTTCTCACACTTAGGGGTCTATTCACAAAAGGGTGAAGAGATTGGAGAAGGCAGGAGAAGTGAACAATCTAGGACAAAATAGCTGAACTGGAAAGTGATCTGAATTGGAGAATTTTTCAAAATCAGCTATGTTGTCCTAGAATGTTCACTTCTCCTGCCTTCTCCAAACTCTTCACCCTTTAGTGAATAGACCTGTTAGTGACAGAAGCTGAAGGATTTAGCGCATGGGCAGGGCCACACGCTTAGCAGGAACAATACGTGTATATGTATAGCACTCCTATAGATATATAGATGGAATGGGGGAAGTGCCACAAAGGCAGCCAGTAAACCTAATAAAAAAGTTGCTGCCTTGGGACCTGGGGCAAGAGATGAAGGGCATATGTCCTTGGTGCCCCGCGCTAGCAACACCCATGCTCAAGTTCCTGAGACAGATGAACTTCAACACTGTACTTGCAAAGGATGAATTGTCATGATATGGTACTATTTTTTTTTTTTATTTTGTTAGAAAAAATGAATGTACTATATTGAGCTGCAACTTTAAAATTTAGGTAACTGGGCTGTAATTGTCAATGCTGTGGGCCCCAGGTCAAATCTCTCCCTTAGGGATTCAGACAACAATATAACAAGTCAGCATGTCTAACCCTTACCAACTGTATCCAAAACAAACAAACAAAACAAAAAACTAAAAAATGGTGACTTGATATGCACTTTAATTGAAGGAGGATTAGTATTGTTTGGTTTTAAAGATCAGCTTATTTGCATGGCTCCAGTCTTACCTTCTTCAGAAACTGAGACATAACTGGTAACAAGTTATATTAATAGTTCTAAATTGCAATACCGATAAAATGAAGTTCTTCTTTAATCAGACAATAAGCAATCAGAGTAGTTAATGTCAGGAGATATCTAATTGCATCTTTGCATTGAACACTTTGTATAAGGAAAACGTTCTTCCAGATAAAAGCATACATTTATATTAGATACTATTATTAGTGTTTGACAACAAGCAGAAGTCAGATCATGCTCTCGCTTAGGAAAATATTTCTTCCTTAATTGCAAACAACGTTTTTATGAGCTTTAACCATAAAAATGTTTGTTGCCCCTTAACAATCATTCATATGGTTTAAAGTTGATCTATCATTCAAACACATTAATAGGCAATCTATATATAGTGTGTGTGTGTGTGTGTATTAGGGATGCACAGATACTTTTCGAGTACCAGTGCAGATAATTGGCATTTTCATGAGAACTACCAGGGTTGCAGCGGTTGCAGCTGGGACCTGGCTCTGGTGCCCCACCACTGTCCTGAGATCATTAGTCTGTATTGCTTTAGAAAAACTGTCACATGACAATAAACAAAAATGTATCAGTACTCGGCAAGTACCAGTACTCGTACTCGCAAAACTGGTATCTGTGCATCCCTTTATTTATATTTATAAAAACAAAATTGTACATTAAAACAGAGATGTACAAATCCCAGGAGCTCCGTGTGCTCCTTACACTCCTAATTTTTGAATTTTTCTCTAGTCTAGTCTTGGAGCTCAAAAGTATCGGTATATGTACTCGTACTTGTACCGAGTACTGTACTTGGTATCTGTGCAACCCTAATATATATATATATATATATAATTTGCAAATCTCATAAACCTATATTTTATTCACAATAGAAAGTAGAAAATGTAACAATTGCTTAAACAAGGAAAAATTGACCATTTTAAGGAAAACAATAAGGTAATTTTGAAATTGACGGCAGCAATATGTCTGAAAAAAGTTGGGCCAGAGCAACAAAAAGCTTGCAAAGTAAATTGGAGATCTGGAACAACATTTTGCTACTACTTACGTTATTTGGCAACAGGTCAGTAACATAATTGGGTATAAAAAGAGCATCTTGGAGGGTCAGAAAGTCAGAAGTGTCTCAGATGTAAAGAACACATAACAAAATTGCATACAATACGGCCAAGGGGACCTCCAGAGGGAGGGGCACTAGAGGGAGAAGTACAGAGTCAGCACTTGGGCTTTAAAATCAGTTGGCTACCTTGCAAATATTCATTAGAATATAGGCAGCAGAACACTTATTTACATGTACATGTCAGTACTGCATCTGAATACTGGATTAAAATAATTGTGTACGAATGGGGCAGATCTTGGAACAGGAAATACACAGACACTGAGGAATGGATGACAATGTATCTAGACAACATAGCAGGTACAAAATGCCTACTGTAAGTGCTATGTCATTCACGAATGACTTGCTTGAGGGAGAAGGTTGCCTAAGTCTAGGTCTGCTTTAATATCATGTTGCTTGTAAATCTCTTTAATGCCATGAATGAGGAAAATGCTGCTTCTAAACTCTTTCACATGACCAACGTGTCTAGCCAACAGCAGTATGTTAGGTGTTTCAATTCATAAATGGCTGCATATAGGTTGTTGTTTTCAATTAGACCCTATGTGATAGTTTTGCAACAAGATAAGAATTAGGCACATGTGATCATTGTACAATACTATGAACCTGAGAAGAGATGTATCTAGATGTACAGTATTTAGAAAATGTTGCTGCTGCATATACTTATATGATTACAAGCTTTACAAAAAAAAACACAAAAAAACAGACCTTGAGAACATTAATGTGAAGGGAGATATTTCTACTACTTTCCCATCTAAAAGTACCCATTGCGGCTGTCGTTAGATTTTCCCACTGAGGATATTTATGGTGCAATCTTAAAATGCTGTATTTGTCCTTAGAAGAGATTTATCTTGTTTTCCTGCTTTGTCTGACATCCATCACCTGGACATGAAGTGAGGAAAAATCTCACAGTTGGGGACACATACAGCAATAATATCCTGGCCAAGGTCTAAACTTCATCACAAATGAGAAATGTGTTTTATCAATGGTGATTTCTATCTGAAACTCATAAATTAGACAATGTGAGGTGAAATCTCCCAAATGGGAACACAGACCTTTTTTTACACATCCCATCCTGAAAAAAAAAAACAGTTGTTGCCGCCTGAACTGTGGAAGCTGTGCCCCACATCTTACAGAGCTGCCCCACCAATTATAGCGGATCTGATGACTGGATGCAAGAATATTCGAGAAGCAGAGAGGTGCAGAAGTCACAGGTCAACAGAATTAATGAAGTAGCAGCAGTATTAACATAAGATCCTTGCATAACCACGAGTACAGAGAACAGCACAGTAGTTAATCACCAAATCTCACAGCCAGAGGCGGCAGTGCAGTAGATGATCTCTCACTGCAGATATACAGTACATTTATGGGATTCAAGCCACACAAGTGCAATGCTAGTTTATAGAAGAAATTCAAGACAAAAGGTAAATCTTTTAGGGTACTGCTAGGGTACAATGGGCATTTCTATACATTCCCTATAACAGATAATCTTGACTTTTTGAGTCCACTTAAATATTCAGCAACCAAATATGCATTTACAAGTTGATGAAGGTTAGATAAAATGGTTTCCTGGAATCAACCCATCATTTCAAAAAGTAATTTAATGTCACTAGAACGGAACATAAAAAATGTAGCTGATTTAAACTTATGTCATAGTTTGGTAAAATTATGTTGTCAAATGCAAATTCCTCTTAATGGCATTACAGTGATTTCAAATGCTGGTACAGATTAGAAATTGCAATTGAGCAGATTTCTGCTTGCAGATACTTTAGCATCCTAATGGCTATATATACAGGACTGGTATAACATCTAACTCCTTTGAAAAATGTGGAGTGTTGCCACATGTTTCCCTAAAGAATAAAGTATTTGTTAAACTGTATGAAGCCTAAAAAAAAAGAAATTGCTTTTACTCCTAATGACAACATAATGAACTATTTCACTGCCTATAAAATGTTTGTATTTGAAGTAATTTTAACAAGCACTGTGATTACATGTAAATATTTATTTGGTGAAGGGTATATTTACTGTGAAATCCAATGATCTAAATATTAGTCTGACATTTTCCTATGCTAAAATTCAGCTCTTAATTCTAACTTTCAGAACACCGAATATAGACAAATTAGCCACAGGGGGAGCCAAGCTAACTCAACACATAGCAGCATCTCCATTATGTACTCCCAGCCGAGCAGCATTCATGACTGGCAGATATTCTGTGAGATCAGGTATAGTCTTGTATCTTATAAGTGTTTGGAATATATCCTGGAAATATTATTTTCTTATTTTACTACTGACTGCATGCAATCTTGTCTCTATGTGCTGGCATGGCAACAGCAATATTCCCAACTGTAACTGATCTCCATGTGGGTTCCCATGTTGACCCCTTGCTGTTTTAAACATTTTGCAAAACCTCAGCAACCTAAAGACAACTTGTAGCTATAACAGCTCCTGTTATCACAGTGTGGGTTTAATTTTGAAACGGTCTGTGTTGTTCAAATACTTTCAGAGTCTATTATTTTTGCTTTTTTTAGGTCAACGTGTCAATGTTCTAAACTAGCAGTTTCTTAAGAGCAGACACCCCAAGATACCTGCTTTGCTTGTGTTAGCCTGCAAATGTTCTTCCATGCTTTCTGCTTCACTTGAGTCTCTTGTTTGATTGTAGGAATAAGCCCTATACCTTCTGCGGCAGCAGGCAGAATAAAATATCTGGGTCTAGCCAGGATGGCGGATTTGTATGCCATAGATCCAGATGTTATACTGAAGGTTGTCCTCTAGGGGGAAGTGTTGAGATGGCTGGAGACTTGGAGGTAACAAGCCCAGCTGAGGCAAGGTGGCTTGTTAGGACCTCTTTAAGATCTCCTACCCTTCTAAGGGAGAAGCTCCATCCTGGAACCAGTCTGTATGTCTGGCAGACTGGGGAGCAGTTTGCCTGTGTGGCAATCCACCTGTGTGGTGAAAAGACAAGTCTGTGTGCCCAGAAGTTTTGGTTAAAGGAACCACCTGAAGTCAGTGAGACTTACAAATGTTATGTTGCTTACAGAAAAACTGTACTTTGTTTGGAAACCCCTGTGAGGGAACACCCCTGTGCTGACTTTTCTTTCTAGTTTTTGAGTTAATAAAAGTGGGCAAAGAAGCCCTTTTACAAAGAAGTGAGTGTCCTTAATGTGCTATCGTTTGGAGCTAATTCTCACGTTTTGATGTACCTATATTTGTTCCCATTATCCATTGAAAGCACTGCAGTTCCCAGTAACGACACTGTCAGTGGAAAATGGGACGACAGGTGAGCAGTGCCTGTAGGCTTAAAGTGACACTATATCCCAACATTTTTTCTACTAACACATATCTACATGTTAAGCATTCCATAAATCCACATTCATTTTTTATTCAAAATCATTTTGTTTTTACTTTTAAAAGCCTTACCTGTGCGTTCTGTTCCTTCTTTCCACTCACATTTCTGGTTTTGTGCATTCTTAAAATAACTCTGGGTGCACACACACATATGCCATTTCCTTCCCCTCAACTGAATCTTTTTTAACTGAATGCATTACAAGCAGGTGGCTAAACATATCCCAGTACATTCTTTACTTCCTATATGGGCACAAACACTTGCATTGTGTGCTGTTCACCTCCACCAGCTCCAGGTAGGAGAACACTTATTCCTCTAAGCTCCAAGCAGGGAAGCATATGTGTTAGTGTGTAGTGTACTACGGACAGCGCAGGCGCTGGGAGGGGGAGGGTCAGGGGGATGGCTTATCACTGTGGCTGTTTCTATGGACGTAAGGAGACTTGTCCATGGTAACAGCTGGGAGCGTGCACACAACAGACTACATGGGACCCTAAAGGGATGGAGTCATTTGAAAGCAGCAACCAGGGAGGAGAACATTTTCAGAAGAGTATTTGAGAACACCAATAAAAGAAATATGAACATTAATACATGATAAGTGCTGTGTTCTGCAGCACTATATATATATTTTTTTAAATTTGGGTTTAACATCAATTTAACTCTGCAATTGAAGATCAAACTCCCTCTATTAATAGTGTGCAGGCAAAATCAGAGGAATAGTCCGATGGATAATACAGCTGCTGGCTTGCCAAAACTGCTAGCGTTAAAGCTGTTCCTATACAGCTGGCAGAGGCAGTCCCTCCCCACCAGTTTGTGACCTCTGCTGCACCACAGTGGCAAGTACAGTATCTGACTACCATTTTCTGGAACACTAGTAGGGTTTAAGTGTTGGGGAGGGGGGTACAGTTTAGATAATATAAACTTGCTGCTGCAGACAGGGTTTTAGTTTTGATTGAAAACATCTTGTCAAATTTTAAAGAGGAGGGCTAGGGGACTGGCAATAAACAGGAGGAGGAGGATTGGGGTACTGGTGAGAAGGAAGAGGAGCGCTGGGGTGCTGGAGTTGAGGAGGAGGAGGGTTGTGCTGATGGTGGCAAAGACAAAAGGAAATTTAGGCGACTTTTTGGGGAATATGTAATTCCTCCATGATCCAAGGGGAACAGTGTACAGGGATCTATGCCACCATCCAAGAGGAAGCACAAGGTGGCCCACTCCAAGCTAGCTAACCTCTTTGCTGCATCTCCTGATGGTAACTGGTCAAACCGGCCTGTAGGCATAGAGAACTCCTAATGTGTAAAGGCTGGCTGTAAATAAAATAAAACTAGTGATCAATGTGAACATTTGGGTGTCCATGCTTGACCATTGGCTGAAGGTGGCTGTGCTTTAAGTACTAAACTGCCCTGCTGAATGTGTCAGAGAGGGCCTTCAACATAGCAGGGTGAATTTGTGACTAAGAAGCTGCATTGTAATAACATGAGTGAGGGTGCATTGCTGTGTTAGTAGGCTATAGTTACATTAGTAGGCCATAGTTTAAGAGGGAGACACCAGGAAAGTTTTTTTTTTTTTTTTAAATCCACATTAGAGTGTATGTATTTAACAGAAGAAGATGATAAAATATTGAAGTGACTATGTGCACAGTATTTAAGCACTTATACTAAGCTGCATTTTGAAAAGGACCTAAACCAGAAAGCTGATAACAAAAAAAATTAGAGTTATTTTTTATTAAAAAGCTTCCAAAATAGTTGTTGCAGTCTTTAAACACTTTGACTAGTCCGCTTTGTCAATAGGACCCACACCAGCTAACCTTTAATTAAAAACCTGCATTATAGCGTATTTATTTTGTTGTAAATATTGTAGTATGTACATGCACAGTATTTAATCACCTTTACAAAACCCCATTTTAATCAGAACAATCTGCATTATAGTGTATTTATTGCACTGTAAAAAGCTCCCAGAATATGGTATCGGGTAAGTGCACAGTATTTAATCATTTGTACTAGACCCCAGGACATGACCCACACCAGCCATTTTAAAATCTAGAAATTGACATTTCATAAAACATTTTGGGTATATCTTCCTCCATATTGTCTGTTGATCTCTCCCTAATCTCCTGTAGGAGCGTGCAAAACAGTGTGCATATACGGTTTTCATCAGTCAGCACCAGCTTTAGCACCTAGCTTTCCCTGAAGTCTGTTATCTTTCCATAACTACCTCATGTGTGCTCCAACACACACTGAACAAATGCAGCTGGGAACACTGAATTTTATAGGGAAGGGGCTGACACATAACACAATTCCAAGATTGAACCTTCCAAGCCAGCTGAAAACAGTTCAGAAGCCAGGAAGTGCATTGCTGTTAACTGGTTTCTTTGGATCCAAATGGCTGCATTAGTTCGTCATTTTCTCGAAGTACAAACTACTTCAGTTCGGGTCGAACTTTGCTCCTTGCACAGTTCCATATAAAAAGTCTTGTATTCTATTTTTTTCTAGCGTTTATCATTGTAAAACGGCACATATTTTTACATTCAGTTCATTATATTATACAATGTGTTCTTCTTAATGAAATTGTTAATCACTATTTAATAAAGAGACATACCAAAAGTCTGATATGGGACCACCATTAGCTGAAATTGTAAACAATTCACATGGTGTTTGCTGAAAGATACATTAAAAATGAAAAAAAAAACTAAAAAACTAAATGACAGCTGAGTGTTCAGCTGTTATTGAAAAAGAGGTTCATTTGCACATTCATTATGTTATTCCAGAAAGCTATTTCTGTGTCTCATTTGCTTAGCATCATTCCAAGGTGTTAATTAGCATAAGATGGCTAAACATAAGCTGAACCATTCTGGGATAGCTAATGCTGTATTTATGCCATCCAAAACTACAGGAAGGTTTTGGGTGAATAAAGATAATAATAACAATGATGATAATAATAATAACAATAATAACATTTTTAGTAGTACTAACTATAGTATTAACATAATTTGCTTTTATTATCGCATTACAGTGCTTTTGTCATGAATGGTTAACTGAAATATTGTATTAAGTGTTAGCAGGTAAAATTATTTTTATGTGCATTTGTATTAAACTACTCATTGATTTTGTAAAACTGATGTAGAGTGTAAAAACAAATTGCAGCAATTCATCTCACTACTTCATCACAAAAATGAAAGGGAGATGTGGATTTTCATAAGAAAGTAATGCTCAGTATTAAATACTCTTGTCAGTTGATTACTGTCCTCTGATATGGATCATTAGCAGTAACCCAGCACTACTAGTGTCTACACTCTGGTCGCAAATGTTATTAGCAAAGTCATGTTTCTAAGTGACATGAAAGCAGTGCAGGGAGCAAAGCAGAATCATTTAAGCGGTCCAAGTTAAACACAGGCTAATGTCTGGTCAGGCAAGTCTAAATTGTGTTCAGCAAACAGGCCAAAATTGGAGCAACTGACATGATTCCGAGGTAGTAAACAATCTGGTCAGCACAGGCTTAATTTAATTATACAGTACTTTGCAGACAAACTACTATGTAGGGTCTAAATCAGTGCTCCTCAAACTACATCTCACAGGCCAGTAACAGTCCACCTGTTGACATGGTCTCTTCAATAAGAAGGCCCTATAAGCAGGGTTTTCTCATTGTTTGCCAGGGAAAGACATTGTGTAGTGTTACAGCAGGCATCTGACACTAGAACATAGAGTGTTCTAGCATCCAGCAATGTACCAGGCACCATCAAGTCAAGTGATCTCCTTTCTATGATATCTGTATTGCCCAGTCTATTGAGAGGAGTGGTGCTTACCATGCAGCCTGGCATGTAAATAAATGCCAACTAAACATCTATGATGGGGCATTATTTATACTGACACAGGGGCACTTCTGACA